GTTTTATGTAGTATATGAAATTATTCATCCAAACAAAACAGAATGCCAGGATATTACAATGCTCTTTAGCAAATTATAGTTTCTTTTACTTTTATTTTTATGGCTTGTTTTAATTAAACCCTCAAACTAACCAACAGATTGTTTCCTAATAAAAGTGGTCGCAGCCTTTTTGTCTCGTTTGTGAAACACTTGGCGTTTTACCACAGCACTTTACTGGCCGCACAGCCTGGGTTAATTTATTACTGCCCTGTTCTTAAAAACATGAGCTGGTTTGGCAGATTAGATGTTAAAAACAGCCAACGCTGCATGAATATCTTAATAGCTTTGGCACAAGACGTGCTTTTGTTCGAACAATTTTGAGTTTTCGTTTTAGTATTAAAAAGCGTGATAAAGACAACGTAACCCAAATTTACCTTAAAGTTAAGCTTTTTTTAAAATATTATCATTTGAAGACCTGGAAAAGAGCAAGACTYCTTGGCCCAAATGTCAGTTAAAATCTCCTTTTTTTAGTTTAGCAATCAGGTATGTCGGCATTTGAAATGCTTTATTTATTCTGCTAGGACAGGATGCTTTTCTTTCTGTACATACGATGTATGTCCTGCTTCTCTTCTGATTTCCTCTCTGTCCAGGAGGAAAAGAGCAACAAACTCAAGTGATACAGACTGCACGGACAGCAGCCGGTTGATCTGCTGCTGTGTTGATGTTGGAATTTAGTAGAGCTGAAGCACAAAGGATGTATTGTTCAGACACTTCGGCTGGTCCTGAACCCACGTTTACTTAGACCTCGGTGCAGGTCTGCCTGCTGACTGCAGAGCGTAGCTGTCTGATTAATAGTTAACAGTGTCTGGTTCAGCTACAGGTTTAAGTCTTCTTCTGAAGTCTTGGCTCATTGCATGATTGTTTTAGAATTGGAGCATGTGGCTGGATTTCACAGTGATTTTCATACAGTGACATAAATAGATCAGACTTGTAAAATGAAAACAAACTTGTCATCAGATTGAAAAAAGATTGCATAAAACTCTTCTGGCTAATCTCAGAAAAAGTGACACTGTTAGCAAGTTATCTTCCAGTCCCATCATTTCAAAAATATTAAAGGAAATGTTACAAAAGTAAAAMGTTTGTGATGCAGGTCAGTCTGTTCAGATCTTTATCACACTGGTATAAATAAACAACATTAGGCCTATCTTCAACATTTAGAGATAATAGAGAGGTGTAAAACATTCCATGTGTCCCTCTARGACACTGGTTCCAAGAAAAGCAGCAAATATAAAAACATTAAGAAAACATCTACATTTACAATTAATGTAGATGGTTTGTTATCACAATATTAAATATTTGTATAACTGCATAAATGAACTTACGTTTTTGTGAGAAAATGTGTTTTTCCTGCATGAGTATTCTGGAGAGATTAGCATTATGCTAGTGGTTTTACATGGAGTTTAGTCTATATATTAGCAGCTAATTAGCACAATGCTAACACTTGTTTCTTTCACAATTTGGAATAATGTTGATATGCTGTTGACTCTGAAAGGAGTATATTAAAATTGTTTTACATTATATTATTTGCTGATTTAGATTCAAAACAGCTTTAGTTGCGATTTGTTTTATAAGTTTCGATGAAGGTCACATGGGGAGTAGCGAGAGGTGGGTGGTGGTAGTTTGGGAGTTAGAAATGGGGGCACTGAGGAAAATAGGTTGGGAACTACTGTTCTAGGACTTTGAGCCTCTTTTTATAGTTAGAATTAGGGATAGGTACCTTTTGACATTTGAATCGATTCTGTACCAATATCTGGTACTTACCAGTACTCAATGGTACCAATTTTCGGTACTTGTGTGTGTTGTTTTTTTTAAATAATAAACTTATTTTTTAATTTAACATATTTATTTCTCAATATATAAAATTGAACAAATATCAAGACAACATCCAACTCTTTGTATTGTAACATCAGTTATTTAACAAATTTATTTAAAGTGAAAACTCTTGAAAACAACTAACACAGTGTTTTGTCTTATTGCACAAATTAAAATCCAGCTCCATGTATTTCTATTTGTGTCATTTCCCCGCTAGAAAAAATGTGTGATGGAGGTCCATGAAAGGCAAATAAGTTTAAATCAAATAAGCAAAAGAGGATGGAGTTAAAATGAATAAAAGGTATTCAAGCTACGTTTTGAGCATCCAAAACGCACCAACACTTCAAGCTGGCTGCTTGTGCTCTTTCAGGTCAGACGTGTTCGAACTGTCAGGAAGCTCCTCTGTTGTTTTCCTCTGCCGGTCTCTGTTTAATGGTGGATGAAATAAAGAAAGTGACTGTACTTTATTTACTGAGAGCAAGCAAACCGTGTTCACAAGATAGTGGATCCACAAGATAATTCAGAGGTGGTCTGTTCGGCGAGTTTCACTCCAGGAGCTGCGAGCTGCGTGACTCGCTTTCAAGCTA